CCCCTTTGTCAAATATTAGATGCCCATAGAGACCTGGGCTTATTTCTGGGCTTTCTATTCTGTTCCACTGGTCTATGGATCTGTTCTTGTGTGCCTAGAGGAGAACATTGGCAGGAAACTCTCAGATATCCCATGCAGCAATTTTTTCACTGATATGTCTCCTAAAGCAAGGGACATAAAGGAAAGAATAAACAAGTGGGACCTCATCAAAATAAGAAGCTTCTGCAAGGCTAAAGAAAACATCAGCAAAATGAAAAGGGAGCCAACCCTATGGGAAAATATATTCGCTAATGATACATCAGATAGAGGTTTGATCTCCAAGATATATAAAGAACTCACTCGACTCCACTCCAAGAAGACAAACCATCCAATCAAAAAATGGGCAAAGGACCTGGGCAGGCGCTTTTCCAAGGAGGAGATCCAGAGGGCCCAGAGACATTTGAAAGGATGCTCAGCATCACTAGCCACCAGAGAAATGCAGATCAAAACCACCATGAGGTACCACCTCACACCGGTCAGAATGGCCGTCATAAACAGATCAACAAACAACAGGTGCTGGCGAGGCTGTGGAGAAAAAGGAACCCTAGTACACTGTTGGTGGGAATGCAGACTGGTGCAGCCATTGTGGAAAGCAGTGTGGACTTGCCTCAAAAAGCTGAAAATGGAACTGCCTTTTGATCCAGTGATTCCCCTGCTGGGACTATACCCTCAGAATCCCAAAACGCCAATTCAAAAGAACCTATGCACCCCAATGTTCATAGCAGCACAATTTACAATAGCCAAGTGTTGGAAGCAACCTAAATGCCCATCAGTAGATGATTGGATCAAAAAACAATGGTACATTTACACAATGGAATACTATGCAGCAGAAAGAAAAAAAGAACTACTAAACTTCGCGACAGCATGGACGGAACTCGAGAGCATTATGCTAAGTGAAGCCAGGGGGCGAAAGACAAATACCATATGATCTCACCTATAAGTGGAACCTAACCAACAATACAAAGAAGCAAGGAAAATAAGACCAGCAACACTGAAAGGAAAAGAAACCAACAGAGACAAGAGGGAAGGAGGGGGGGGCGGGGAAAAGGAAGAGAAGGGGAAAGTCAAGGAACATATAGCAAGGACTCATGGACAAAACCAAAGGGGAAGAGCTGAGGGAGGGAAGGAGGGAGGGGGCAAGGGAAAGTGGTGGGGGGTAGGCAGAGACAAATGTATTTGAAAAAATTAATTAATTAAAAAATATGTGATTGAGGAATAGTTTGACAACTTGTCTTCTTCCAGAGATCTAATGTACAGTAATGGTGGTGATAGTTAGCAATACCGTTTTGTATACTTATAAATTTCTGGGAGGGTAGCTCTTAAATATTATCATACACACACTCACACACCAGTGGTAACCCCAAAATTTTAAATTTTAGGTAATGGATATGTTAACTAGCTTGACTGTGGTGACCCTTTCATAATGTGTATCAAAATAACAAGTGTACACCTCAAATATACATAATTTTTATGTCAATATCTCAAGAAAACTGCTAAAAATAAGTATGGCCTGTAGGAAAATGGCTTTCAGAGACGCGTCAAACAATGAATCTGAAAAGATGGGCTGACACTGGAGGGCTTTGTGTGGGGTGCATGATCATAAATACATACATGTGGCCAAGATCAAAAAGTGCGGAAGGTCCCAAATGACAGTATCTGGAGTTCGGCTCTCCTGCTCTAGAAAGAGTGACACCTGCTTCTGAAACTAAGGGCATTTGACCTGAGGAAAATTATTCTCCAAATCTTTGTGCACGTGTCTTCAAGAAATGAATAAGCTTCATATAGCAAGGGCTTTGACAGTTTTCTCTTGAACATATAAAATGAAAATGTCTATATTATAGGATAAAATTTACTGTTGTGTCTCCATTTAGCATTAGAGACTCAAAAGGTCTGGCAAAGGACACACCATTCTTCTTCCTAAGATTCAAGACTAGGGCTACTTCCTGGCATTGTGACAAGTTCTGTGAAGTGAGTCTCCTACGCTGGCCCAAACGTGGACAAAGTGAACAGGAAAGGGGTTCTCTCTGCTATGGAGGAACACAGCATTTCCCTTTTATTTGCATGGACAAAAAAGCATCTTTGTGATTCCTATTAAACTGTGTGACAGATACTCATAAAACAAACTAAGGACTGGAAAATATCCAGGAAGAGGGTTCACTCGGTGCAAGCTGGGCTTTCTGAGGAGCGATCAACTCCTGCCATTACTTTGTACTCTGTTGTTAGTTCCCCAAACCCACAGAATGCCCTCGAGGGCTACATTCATGGGCTTCCTAGGAGCTCGCCCAGGCACATTTCATTGGACAAACATACATTACTTCTGCATTACCCAGGTCCTTTCCAGATTTAAAGTAGGGATGCCCCCTGTCTTGGTAAAGATGGTTTTTACTGAGAGTCACACTTACTATGCTTTTGTTTTTAAACTTAGTAGATGGCATCAATTGATTAGTTGGAACAATGAGCTGGAATTATCAACTTAAAATGACAGTAACATTTCAGGAAAAGTAATTGATTGTGATAAAACTAGTCTTAGACAGATTGGAAATCATACATTTAGAAAATGTAAATTCAGTCCTTTCTTCATTTTCTTTCTTGTTTTCTCTTATCAGCTCTGAAGTCCCAAGACCTGAGGTTCCCAACAGCCTTCGAGAATAACTCTGTGCTTTCAACCAGTAATTTTTTTCTTTAGCTTCCTCATCCTTCCAAACTCTTAGTGCATTTGTGCCTCTTTCTCACTCACTGTTACAGATTAAATCTTCCTGCTATAGACTAATGCTGATTATGTAACAGAAAAGGCTTTCAAACTAAAGGTTAAATTGTGGGATAAGGGGATAGGAGAGGAAATTTGTGAGACTGTACCTTTAAGTCAGTGTTGCTCAAACAGTAGCAGGCATCTGGATCGCCTGCAGAACTGGTTTACAACACAGACTCTGGGCTCCTCCCCAGAGTTTCTGATCCAGCAGGTCTGGGCTGGGATTCTGTGTTTCTTACAAGCATCCCAGTGATGTTGATGAGGCTGGTGGTCCAGGGACCACACTCTGGGAACCACTGCTTTTAAGTCAAACAACACAAGTGCCTACCTGATTTGTCTTGGCATCCAAATGTCAGAGTGAGCAAGACTCTGACACGTTCCATCCAAACGTCCTGCTCCAAATTCAGGGTTTTATTCTTCATTCACTGTGAGAGTTATATGCTGTTATTGGGAGAAAAGTATATGATTTAGAGTAAGATTTCTATTTGCTGTGTGCTTTGCTCATGCCTGGAAATTTCTTTAAAATCTCTGAGCTTCACTTCTGTGTTATAAAAAGTGGAACAATAAATCTAGTCTTTCAAATTCACTGTGATGCTCAAAACACGTGTGAAGCTGCCTGGTAAATGATCAAGTGCTCTACAAATGGTATTTTTCTACAGTAAGCAGTTTATCCAAGGTAGCTATTGAAAATGAAATGATATTGGACCACATCCTGTTTTTAGAAAAGTAGGGTTACCTGTGTTTCCTGGGTCGCCAACAAAGCTAGTTTCCTCAAAACTCTCCTGTCACAGGAAAAAGAAATACTGCACTAAGCTTTGACATGAGTCTTTTTTATGCCCTGGAAAGCCACACACACAGTGCAGATCTGTGTAGAACAAGGGGAAATTTTCTGGCATCCTACATATTCCAAGAGCAATCCTGGTCCATGTTGTGGAAAACCCCTAAGAACACCACCTGTGCAATTTTCCTTAGCACCAACACATTCAGAAAGCTCCAGAATAGAGCTACACAAACATGATTCATTGACCCCATTCCATTTTTTACCCCTCATCTTTTACATGGCACTTAATAATTAGGAAAAAAACATATCTCCTGTGACTACAACACATACACTGTTATGCATTCCATTTGTTAGACCTAAATCTCATTGTTAAAACCTCAATGCCTGCAACCCTGGAAAATATGCAGCTCTCGAAGTACACCATCCCAGATGTAGAAACAGCTGGGAGGAGCCATTATTCCTTCCCCCTAACATCCTCACATCCAGAGCTAAGGCAGAAACAAACCTGTCTCTGCAGGGGACAATTCCAACCCCTCGGAGTCATTCCTTGCTGGCAGGAGCCCTTGGAGAAGGCATAAGAGGTGCACAGCACAGGCTGGTGGTCTCTTCTCAGTTGTGAGGTCACTAACACCCAGACTGTCTCTTTCCCCAACATAAGGGCAGGTGAACACTCAGGCGCTGAACAAAGGGACACAATTCCATACAAGGCTGAAAAGAACTGAGGTGGAGCAGGAAACTGGACTTGGCCCCATCCACCTGTTGACACCAAATGAGATTATACAACTCCACACACATAAGGAAAGCTCAGAAAATAAGGAAGGGGAGAGCTATAATCTCACTTCCAGGGTTCTTCCCACTGCTCAACACCTCACCCTCTGGATTCCCATGCTGCAGCTCTAACAGTGTCTTCTCCCATCACTGTGGGCAACCCAAAGCCTCTGGGGCCAATAGCAGGTGTCCAAGACTGCAATCACCTAGATAGCTCTGTGAGCCCCATCCCTTTTGTCTCCCTCTCCTCCCCAGCAGCATCTGTTTATCAGACAATTGCAGGTTCTTTCTTAATAGATACAGCCCTCTTACTTTATTCAGGTATTTGTACATTTCAGCCAGGCAGGGGGGAGGGGAGCAACGCACTATGAAAGACACAGACATATTGGGGGAAAATGTACTTATAAACTGTTTATTTCTTTTTTGGTTAAAGAAAAAAAAAACTTCATAAACAATATCCCACTTGTACATAATAGTGGGATAAAAACTTTGATTGCTATTAATCTGCACTTACATGTATCTTCTCACCCCATCTGTAAAGTTTGTTTGGGTTCTCCAACTGTCCACCAATAGAAGCCCTCAAAGTAAACACAAGTAACAGGAAAGGAAACGTATTAACAGGAGGAAGTTCAAGAATGCGGCTTCAGGAGGCAGCAGCGGCTGTCAGTAGAAGCAGACAGTGTGCAGGAAGCTCTGGCCGCTCTTCTCCTCGAACTCCAGTAGCACTTCCCCGATCTCACTGTCCACGTCATCCATGAGCTGAATGCACTGGCAGAGCTCCGAGAACAGGAACGCCCCCAGGCTGGCTTCTTCGAAACTGTCCTGGATGTTCACATTGATCACATGCACTAAGTGTAAGGTCACTTGCTCTCTGGAATTCAGCTCTTCCACCACCTGGTCATACACTTTCTCTTCGCAAGTGAGGATCAGGTCAAATACATCTCTGCAGTTCTGGAACCTTTCCGGTCTGGGCTTGATTTCCTTATTTCTCTCCAGCATGCGCAAAATGCCATTATTCCTGTAAAACTCTTCGTTTTTCTCAACAAGATCTCTGTAGATTTCATCATACGTGGTGTTGAAATCATAAATATTTGCCTGGTCGGCTGTTGGTCCTGGAAGCTTCACATGAGTCCCTGTTCCAAAGGACCGGACATTGAATCCCTTCTTGCTGAGAAGATGGTGGGCTTCCATGCTCCGATTTTGGTTGCTGGAACACACTACTGCCACCCGCAGTGGCGCTGACGCCATGGCAGTGGTTCCTGCCCAGTCACCACTCTCTGGCTCCCGGCTCCCGGCTCCCGGCTCCCAGCTCCCGGCTCCCGGCTCCCGGCTTACGGCTCCTGGCTCACGGCTCACGGCTCACGGCTCACGGCTCACAGCTCACGGCTCACGGCTCCCCGATCGCGGCTCCGGGTTCCTGGCTCCTCGTTCCCAGCTCCCGGTTCCCGGCTCCTGGCTCCGGGCTCCCGGACGCTCAACCAGCAGAGGTACTTCGACGCCAGAAAGATGGCAGCAGCGGCTCCCAAAAGTCATGACGTACAAGTGGCGTGCTGGGTCACAAGGCGTGGGGTCGCTCGCCATGCGCAGTGTTTGGCCATGCGCACAATATGCAGGCGACCCCTTTAAGCTGGCCGAGGTCCCCAGTCACCGACCAATGTAGGCGCATCTCACAGCTCCAGGGTGCGCATGCGCACTACTGCTCTGTACGTGAAGCCGAGGCGCGTATTCCTCGCCGGGGCTTCCCGCTGCCTGGCTTTTTTTTTTTATTAGCTCTTTCGTCTTCCTGCTGAAGTTCTCATACATTGTATATTTTCCTCTCACTCCTGTCACTACCACCCTGCTCTCTGTTTGCAAATTCATTTGCACATTCTTTCTGGTTATGACAAGCCATTAAAAGATATGGGAGGAATGCAAGAGTAAGAGACACGAAATCTTTTACACCTTGAGTTCATTCATTAAGTTGATCATAGAAAAGATAAAATGGAATAAGTGTCACTAAGACACTCACTTAAAAGACAGTTGGGAGGCCACTGAGGAAGTAGAATGTATGCACATCTCGTCTGAGACTTTGGAACTCATGTTAGCTTGCTGACCTGTTCCTAAACTCAGCTCAAGGCCACCCACAAACATCCTGGATCAATGATTGTTGCATGAACATGCATAGACTTGACTTCCTCCTCCTCACCACGGTGAGCAGACCATCTGCATCTTTCACCTTGAAAGGAACCAGTTTCAAAAACCAGCATCTTTCATTTTTAGGATGGGTCTCATCAATCTCAGTGGACCTAGCCAAGTCTTTCATTCACAGGGAGAACCGAAAGGAGAACAGCCAATTCAGTTGCGCCCTTTATAAACCCTGCCTTTCTTTGTCCCCTCTGGAGCACAGTTTAGCTTGCTACCTGAATCTGTGCCACAGATTGCAATCTCTCTTTTGCTTAAATAAACACTGTTTATTCTTTATTGCAGCCTAAAACTTATTGCTATTATTTGGTTAAAAAGGTCAACAAATTGTGTGTGTCTACTATGTAAAAGCCACCCTTCTAGGTGCTGGGCATACATCACTGAACAAAAGAGGGAACCCCCCCCCATTCTCATCCCCCAAACAAACTCCTGTCCTATCAGAGTTTATAGTCTAATGTATTTATAATCTGGAATTAAACTCAATTTTCAAACCCTCCTTTTATTCCAAAGTATAAGAGTGAAATGTGTTTATTTTCAAGAGGAATCAATTCTAATTGAGCCAATATTTCTCAAGTGCCTTCCAAGGATCGCCTTCATCAGCATCCCTGAACATACTAGTCAAAACAAAGATAAATCTGCTGGCTCCACAGCAGGCCCACTCACTCAAACTCTATGAGGGTGGGTGCAGGAACATTAACGTTCTTAGCATGAATATTTCCCAATCTTTGAGAAGATTTGTCAAACTAAATGGATTGAGCTCAAATACTGGAGAATTAGGTTTTTTTGTGCAAATGAATGTTTGCGATCTGCTGCTCAGATGGTGGAGTTTCAGACACTAGGCATAGCTATAGTCATGTTTCCTAAACTTCCCAATAAAATCACTCAGGAGCACCTGTTAATTTTGGAGCGTCTTAGGTCCATTTCACACAGATTCTGATCCAGTGGGTCTGGAATGGGGCCACACGTGATTCTTAGGTGAGCATCAAAGTTTAGGAAATACAGAGCTTTAGGATAAAATTGCAAATCAGGGATATCAGACCAATTCCACACTCACAGCAAATTACCCATGAGTGATATATTAGTCAGGTTTATTTTTTCCCCAATTTAGGAACTTTTTTTTCTAACACAGATTTGCCTGTTTTGCTGCTCCATTTTCTTTCTGTGCTAGATAAATCTTTAAAGATCAGCTGTGTGAGCCCCAGGCACGAAAGAACTAGCTTTCGTCACAAGACTCTTCAATGTTTATATCTATTACCCTGGCTAGTTCCCCACTAGATCATTAGATCTTCAAGGGTAGGGACTAATCTTGTCAACCCAGAAACCACCTAGGGCCTCCCCAAGCAGGTGCTCAACAAACATTTACTCAGTACTAGCCTGTTTAATAGTATTCTGAGGGATTGGAATGTATTTGGATCTAATTTAGACCACATCTTGCAATCCTCCTCTATTCCTGCAGTAATTTTTCACCCTTCAGTAAATGAAGCACCAAATTGAAGTTCCTTTGCAGAACACCCTGTAACACCCATTGATTCTCCTGAATGTCTCCACTGTTCCCCTCACTCCAAGAACAATAGCGGAATGTAGCAATGTGGGTTGATGAATGGAGATCAGAGCTGCACTTGAAAGAGATTACACTGATTTTTGTTATTGTTGTTGACATCAATCTGGGTAACTTCATCATTGCTGTAGCATTTCAGTATTAAATAAAAATGCACTATTTAAAGCAAGTGTATTTATTTTGAAATTTTTGACATTTGAATAAAATATAATAATATGTTTCATTTTTATCAGTTGGGACATTGGGATTTAAATTTGAAAAACATAATTAGTGAAAAGATATATGATTAAAAATGAATTAAAATATGTTAAGTTTTTAAGAAAGGAAACACAAAAAATGTGGTTTGAAGATATCCTTTCTGAAAATCTCTCTATATGTCTTTTCTGAGCAGAAAACCATGGCCGAACATAGTAAGCCAAAAGGCAGCTCAGATAGTAAGATAGGAACAAAGTCAGCTTGGAATATGGGGCAAGTGGAAAGAGAACAGGATTTTACAGACTACTGAGCCCAGGAGAGAATCCAGATTCTTACATAGAAAGACTGTGATCTTGGACAATTCACCAACCTCTTGAATAACAGCAAAATGTCCCTAAAGCATTTTCTGAAAGGATTCATTGAGATAAAAATGCATAAAACTTGGCACTCCAAGTTCCCCCACCCCCTCTGCCTTAACTGAAGTGGTATCAGATAAATTTTTAGAAAAGGAATAGTATAGTATGGGGAGGTCCCTGTTTGGGCACCAGATATGGGGGTCCCTGTTCTGGGGCCAGATATGGAGGACTTTGGCCCATGAAGTCCCCAGATTCGCCACAGATACAAGAATCGTTCCAGCCACCATTTGTCTGTCAAGGAAAGGGGAAGGTGATTCTCTCTAGTGGGGAATTCCCTGAGCCCTCCCCTCCGCACCCCCCCCACCCCTTACTCAATGGCTTTTATTGAAAGGGTTACCGGCAGGGGATAAGTAGCAGGAATGTATAGGTAATCTAATTACATCAGTATGTTAATGTTTACAGAGAATAGGTGATGTTTGAAGAAGACAAATGGCAGGAAACACACCAAATTGCTTCTTTCTGAGATGAGTGTAAACATAATGGTGCTAAATGGGTTAGGCTCAGGGTCTATGAATAATGTAAATTTCCTTCCCAGGGTGAGCTGGTTATCTGGTGTGAGAATAACAGAGCTTGAAGATGAAACAAAGCATGCTTCAAGGAGTGTAATTTACTTCTAGGCCTGATTTCCCCCCGGGAGCCCTCAGAGGTATTATTGGGTCCTGCCTATCAACTGCATTACCAGTGTTCCGGCCAAGTACTTAAGGAGCCTCTCCCAGGCCCCAGCTCATGCGGGACTACTGGCCCCAATAACAATCAAAGCAGCCCCCTACAGTATAGGACAGATATCATGAGTTGTAAACTTGTCAATTGACATAGAGAACATAGCTAATATGGGCCATTAGCACTGATTTCAGCTAAACAAAGTAAATCCCTATCTCAGTTGAAACTAATTCATCTTTTGAAATTATGTGTAAAAAAAAAAAACACACCAAAGAGATAAAATAAGCAAAATTTTCTTTCACACAAAAGATTTTTAAATATGTTTTTGCCATTTCACTTTGAAGCTTAATTTGCATTTATCATACTATATATCTTTTGAAAAGTAAGTTGACATTGAGTAGTTACAAATTTTGAGTAGTTATAAAGTTGGATTTCTTACACAGACTTTGAGGAGTACATTAATCGCTATGCTGTGCCTTTGGGGTATAGCCTTCCCTATCTTTTTCACACAAAAATTCATCAATATTCCCAGCTACACAGTGTATTTAGATCTAGGGTTGGCAACAAAATATTGCTAAATCCCAGCCTTATGTTCCAAATCCAATTTGATAGCTAGGTTTATGCTGGTAGATGGGGGCAATAAACACTTGAAGAGTTGTTCAGAACTGCACAGGAAACCTGTTTCAGCCCAATAATCTATTCCTGAGTTTATTTGGCAAAAAAAAAAAAAAATTGAGAACATAATTTTACCCAATTTTCTCTATTTCTGTGTTATCACACAGAATAACATGAAGCATGAACAGGGGGAGTACTTATTTGCAAAGATAAATACTTTCAGGTGCTATGGGATGCAGGCTTCTAAGAATTCATATAAATTCAGCGTGATCATAACTTGAAGTTCAATGAATGTTCAGCTCTAGTTTTTGGTAATTGAGATATATATTCCATTTTCATGTATAATACAGGTTTAAGCAAGATTAACTGATTGATTATGAAAATCATTCATCTTCTGAAAAAGGGTCTTGTCCTTTGGAAAGTAGTATGTACAAATATGAAGTCAAGGCATGCACCAGCTAAGGGGGGGAAAAAAAAACCAACAAAACTTAAAACATACTACTGGCTATTAAAAGTAAAATCTTCCAGAAATTGGCCACATTAGAAATTAGTTAGGTTGGATCTAAAATATATGAGCTAATTTAAATGAAAGACTGATAAAAACAGATCCAAAAGTATCTCTATTCAGAATGTGATTCCCGCCTTGGTAATGAAGCAGCCAG